AGACTATACTAGCCTGACAGCGGGTTAAAAAAAAAAAAAAAAAAAAAAAGATAACTTGTTAGACTATAAGAAATCCAAATATAATCTATTCTATTATTACTTGTTAGGTTTCTTCTTATTGAAGTTTTTTCTTTATTTTCCCATATGGCTTATATATCTATAAAGTCTCGTTTATTAAGAAAGTTTGATAATAGAATTTCAAGCTATCACAATGGTCTAAAGCTTGCTTTAAAGGAGAACTTTTTATCCTTCAAAAGATTATAGACTGTATTAAAATCTGCTATTACTATTGTGTAAAAGCCTTGTCTATATTTTCTTTTAATATGATTGATTATTTTATTCTGTACCATTTTACATCTTAGTTTGTTAGAAGAAATATAGATCTATATAATACAGATATTCTTTCTTTTTATAAGCATATTGATGGCAATAATATATTATTCTTTTTTTTCTACTGATATAACTTTTTTTTCCAAATTACTTTTGATTAAAAAACTACCTCCTACTCAAATAGTATATCTTTATTGACACTATGAAAGTGTTTATAGTTTTTCTAATTATTAAATGCCTATTGTGTATTAACTTGTATTGATTTTTTTTTGTATAATCCCAATATGTCTATTTTTTGTTCTAGTATCTCTTCAATCAGGTTTTGATGTTTTGTTTCATCTATAATTCCTCTAATATTATGTATATTGATTTTAATCATTTTTTTATCTATATTATTATCTTCTTTAGTTTTCTTAAATAGTCTATGTCATCTATTATTATTTAGGAAAGTTTTTCACTTATCTTGTAAAAGTATTGAGATATCTATATTCCTTACTTCTTTTATCTCATTATTGCTTATTAGAGTTCGTTGGTTGTCCATATTTATAGTTTTTGATAAGGAGGTAATAGGCTCTTGCTTTTCTTGATTACTATTAAAGACTGGTGCATCTTTAGAAGCAGTTTGTTCCTCTATTACTAAGTTTTGATTTTTTGAAGACTGTTTATTTCTTTAAAGCATCTATTCTAGCATATAGTCTTTTCATGTTAGTTAAAATACTTTTTAAAAGATCTTGAATACTTTTTATTTTGATCTCATTTTATCTTTAAAAAAACTATATCCATTGCTTTACTGATTTCTAATTGGTTCTCTATTGTATTCTATTATAAGATATTTTTTTTTTTTGTTTTTTCTTTATTCTATTCTATTATTATTTTTCTGTCTAGTTTATCTCTGATTTCTAAAGTTATGATAATTTGATGAAATAGAAATAGAATATATTGATTTATTATCTAATTGTGAACTGGATGTTGATTTATTATCTGTTTGTATGCTTCTGGACCCAAATCTTGTATTTCTATTTTATCTTTAAGATACTGTCTTTTTGATTTGAATATATGTTTGATACTCTATAAAAAGTGATATCCTTACAAGAAAATATATTATTTGTATACCTTATCTTTTTCTTCTTTCATTTTGAAATAAACTACTATAAAGTTATGCTTCTCAAGTATGTAGGGATCTTTGAGTGTATAGCATGTCTTAGCTTGGATACCATTCATTGCTTTAACTATAAGACTAGTGTAGATTTTATAAGTATCCAAAAATCTTGTTGAATTATCATTTCTTTCAATTAATATTTAATTAATTTTATTGTCACTAAGCTCAAACTTAGAGAATATGGCTTTTAATATTTTTGTACTGATTGAAGTCATCCAAAATGCTTCAAGATTTAAGCTGGGATATTTATGCTATTTAATATAAGCTTTTATCTGTAGTTTTGTTTTTATCTTATAAATATAAATATTTTGAACTTTTCTATATCTTTTTATAATGCCTTTATGAGATTTTTATTGATTTTTGAATCTATATCTATCAAAAATATATGTCAGATATCAGTATTCTCTTTGGTTTTAGATTTTTAAAAGACTTTTCTATCTAAATTTCTTTCTATTTTTTATTTCTTGTGGATAGCTAGAAATATTATATATTAAATAGCAAAGTCATCTTCTTTTTGATTAATTTTTTTTATGCATCTTATAATGTCTTCTTTCTCTTATACCCAAAAAACTAACCATTCATTTCATTAATAAATTCTTTTCTCAACAAACTTCTTTTTCTTATAAAAGTTTAAGAATTTTACATAGGTATGCTTTAATTTCATCTTCTATATCTCTTGAAATATTAGCTATCATTGTATTTAATCTATAAATTTCTTTTTTTTTTTATGAAGTATGGGTTTGTTGATAATGTTATACATTATCTTTTGACTGTTTCTTGGAGTTTCTGTAATTTTGACTCTTCTATTTCCTATATATATATTATTGTTACTTCATTGTCTACTATTAATTCATTATCTGTTTGTTTGATAATCTTCATTGATTATTACTTTGGTTTAGTATGGTTTTCAGGATTCTTGATAATTTCTATGAGCTTGTCTTTGATATAGAGTTGTAAAAAATCTTCTTTTATCTCTTTGTCTTGTTATTAAAAATATGTGATAAGTTGAATTAGAAGTTATTTCTTGCAAAAAGTTATTATATCAACTTCATATATCTTAGTTATAATACTATTTAAGATAATATATATTTTTGATAATATAGCTGCTAATCTATTGAATTCACTATTTCTTTATTATAGTAATTGTTATGAGACTCTTAGGGTAGAGTGTTCATTATATTTTCTTGAGAGATTAATTAGGGTATTTACTATATCCTTTTTTTTTTTACTAACTATTTGTAATATAAATTATGCTTTATTTATGTTTAATAGCTCAAATCTATTAATAAGTTATGTAAATGCTTATTTATATTTATAAAAGATCTATTTTTAGGTTGCATATAAACCTTTCTGAGATTGTTATTGATTATGTATTTTAATTAAGTAATACAGAAAAACCTTGTTTACTGTTTTAATATGTTTATTTGTTTATATTGATAATCCTATCCTAATTTTGAAAATTGTTATTATTATGTTTATATATAATATCAATCAACTTGTTTAAATAATAAATTATATATGTATATGTATATTTTAATTATTACTTTTATGTATATACTTGTTTTGCTTGTCTATTTTTTAGTATTCATATTTATATAACAAGATAGTAAATAGATATATTATTTATATGTATATGTATGTTTAGACTATCTTGTCTTTAAAAAGCTTTAATGTGATTCTGGACCTTTGAGTAATTGAAGCAACTTTATTTATTGAATAAGCTTAATTACTTCTTAGGTTCCTTGTAGTGTTGAAAAAGGTGATAATCTGTATTGGCCTAACTATGAGCTATATGAAGTTGATATTGACTCTTTTTTTCTGACTGTGAATTAGTTTACAAGTCTTTTTTTTTTCTCCTAAAATTTTTTTTAAAAAAAAAAATAAAAGAAAATTGGTAAAGCAGTATATATATCTTTTTTTGATGTTTTTGTATAGCTTGTTATATATATATTGAAAGTACTTGGTAGCTTAATTTAAAGGATATGTTGTTTTTCTTTATATATTGAACTGATTCACTTTTTTCAAGAAAAAAAAATTTTTTTGAAAAAGAAGAATTAATAGAAAGAGTTTTTTTTTTTAGAATTCTTTTATTAATTGTTGATTCAATTATTATTTATTTATTTAGATTTGTTGTATTATTTGTATAAAATGTTGTAGAGTGGACATATTATTGTTTAGTTTGTATTTTGTTTATTAGAAGAGTTATAGATCTTTTCTATTTGATTTGTTTGTTTATCGGATTGATTATTGATTTATTCTTGTTATAAGAGTTAATCTACTTTGTTTATTGAGTATTAACAAATCTTATTATATTGTTTTGATAGTTGCTATAAACTGACATGTTTGTATTTGTATAACTTGTTTTGATGTTTATATTGTGATAGTGAACTATTAGGATATTCTATTATTTAATTTTTAAAAGCTTTTGATATTTTTTTGGGTTTTAGAAACTGAGTTTTTTTTTATTTATTGATAAAAACTAAAGTTTATAAAGTTTTTTCTAGTACTTAGAAAGATGTAAATCAACTCTGGCCTAGATAAAAACTTGGAAGTTAATATTGAGCTCTCCTAAGCTTACTGTAAATTGACTTATAGATGTGTTTCTTTTTTCTTGTAGAAATAAAGCTAAGGGAAAATAAAATATAATTTTTAAACATTTACTTAATAAATAAGTTCCTTTGGATATAATTGCATGTTATATAATTTGTTTTTTAGTTGTTAGCTTGGAGTAGTATAATGTTTTTTGCTGATTTTTCTTTTTTAAAGAAATTATCAAAAAAAATTTTTTTTAAGAAAAAAGAAGATCAGTGAATTTTTTGATAAAAAAAATTCAATTTAAAAAGTATATTATAAATTTTATAAAAAATTATATATATATTTATGAATAGAAATATATTATTCCCTAGGTTGCATTTAGAGAAATATTTTTTCAACGATGAGTGAGTCAGCATATGAAAGTTACAACAATTTGTAAATACCTAGCATATATACAATAAAGACATGCCATGCTGAACTAACTGCGGGTTAAAAAAATATATATATATATTTATAAATAAAAATATATTTTTTTATTATAATAAAGATTTTTAAAAAAATTAATAAAAATATTTTAATTTATAAAAAACAATAAGCTATTTTTTATAGTATTTTAATTATATTATTATAATTATAATTATAATTTTAATTTATGCAATTAATTTAAAATATTTTTTAAATTGCCAAAAATCTAATTTTTAATATAATATTTTTAAATTTTTGTTTTTTTGATCCAATTTTTCAGTATTTATTTGATTAAATAATTTTAAAAAAATTTTTTTAATTAATAAAACTATAAATTTATAAATTTATAAATATATATTTTTAATGATTTTATATATTATAAAAATTTTTAATTATTTTAGTTATTTAATTTTTATACTTTTTTCAAAATCAATTTTTTATTAATATAAAGCATTAAAATTAGTATATTATATAAATTAAGAAAAAATTATTTATTTATTTATTATATATGTTACTAATTAAATATGATTAATTGAAATATTTTTATTATTGCTTTATTTTATATACCAAATAATTCTAAAATATATTTATATATAATATATATTTAAAAAATTGGTAATATGATTCAAATAATTAATTATTAATTTCTAATATTAAAATTTTATAGTATAGTATTAAAAATATCATAATTGCATAAGATTATATGAAATTTAAAGTCGGTTAATTTTTTTTAGTTACCGCATATATTATAAAACATTAAAATAAATTAATTAGTCCGAAGCGAAGAGATGGACTATAAATTCTAGGCATGCATGTCATTGAAAATGTCCAGTAATTGTTGTTTGCAGTATAATAAAGGACTTTTTAATATAAATAATTTGCGATTACTTTTTATTCTATTCCTAGAACAATAAATATTTTTTATTCCATTGAATAGTTTACGGTATACAGAATAATATGTAGTTTCTGATTCGCATTAAACAACGGCGTTACTTTATCTACAGTAAATTGTAATTAGATAACGGGCCCCCTGTTTATTTCATCTAATATCTTTTCCAACATTTCCATCTCTTCCCACTGTCTAGCGTCCATCAGAACTCTAAGTCTCTTTTGCATCAATGTCTTGTTCTCTTTGATAAATCTCAAACAATGATCTTCTAATTGTTGCGAATCACATAACTTCGCACCCTTTATAATCTTTATCACATTAACCAAGTTATAGTTACATTCGTCTGCCAAAGCTTTTTCCAAAATATTTTTGAGTTGATCAATTTTGTATTCAGTTGAAGCCTTGAATAAATCAATTAAGAAAGTAATGTTTCTATTGATTGACATTTCTTTCAATACTTCTTCAAAGGGTTGACCGTAGAGCCAACGAAGAAGAGCTCGGAATGTGTCGGGCTCAAAGTCCTTGACTTTTATAGGAACTTCAATCTTGTGATTACAGAAAAGGTCTTTAAAGTGCTGTGACGCAGCTGTACGTGTTCGAAGTTGAAGACATTTTAATAACGCGAATAATAAAGAAATCCACATGAGGTGATAAGACACTACCTGAAAGCACACATCGATTCGCATAAATTGTTTCATTATTGGAGAAGCAGAATGCAACATCACCGTGCGGTGTTTCTTCCCGTTCCTTCAAAAAGTTAAGCAATTGATCTAATACATGTTTTCCCTGATCATGCGCCTTTAGGTCCATTCCTGACTCGACGTTTTTTAATTCTTCGGCTCCTGCCAATATTAACAGATCTTTGTATTCTTCCAAAAATGAAGTGACTTTCTGCTGATCTGGTCCGGAGTCTCCGTCGTTACCAAAGATTAAACTAGGTCCTGATACCCAACTTTCTGGTTCGAACGGGTCATCGCGGTTTAAAAATAACTTTTTACCACGTATTTTTGATTTGATCTCTTCCTTGTCTCGATTGTTTTGATTGATTCGCGAGTTAATATATTTGTAAATTTCCTTCATCATTTCCTGAAAATGACTTTTCTCTCTGTAATATCCCCAATCAACATCTTCAGCTCGAGTGATTTTTGTTGCAACTGTTTCCCAATGATTAATGACATCCTTTAGTTTAGGCTCACATAGATTAGAGTGAGATCGTAATATTTCTTTGATGGGTAGATCATTAAGTGATTCGTCAAAAATTGGAACTTGTGTCCACACCAAATCATTATATTTGTAAAAGCAGCCCAAATTCAGAGAGACTATTTCTTCCGAACGTATACCAAAACGTTCTTTATGGTATGTATCGGTGGGAACAAATTTTATAGACAAGAGTTCTTCACATTGTCCTCGATCAAAAGATAATTTCTCGTAACGTGAAACCAACTCCTCCGCTAATTTTCGGGCTAGTGGTTTGATTTTTTTTGGAGAGGTGTGAAACTTGCTTTCAATCTCGAGAGCGCATTCAATAAATGTTTGAGAGTTAATGCAGCGCTTGAGTCCCATCCTTCCTAGAGCATCCAAGATTTCTTTATTTTCTTGAAGCTCGACATGTAAAAACTTATCTGCGTCTCTGAAAATATCACTGAACAAATTCACATCCCCATCATAAAGTGTGCTGACTTTGACGAGCGTGCAATCTTTGTTTGGGATCACTTCACGATCTTTAAGAAACTTTTCTATTCCATTGTCTCTCAGCAAAAGAATGCTCTGCAAGAATTTCATATATCCTGTACTATACGCAACACTCATGTGTTTATAATAATGTGTAATATATTCCAGTTCGTTTATGGGCTTGGCTTTAATATATGAAAGCGCGTCGTAATCTTCATCAGACTCAAATTTAAAAACCTTCATGCCCACGAACGAAAATAATTTAAGCTTAGATTTGATGAGACATCCATTCTTGGCCGCAATGAAATAATTATCATGAGAGTGTATAGGCCAGACTGGCAAGGATTGAATGATTTTTAGAATATTCGAATCTAATTCTTTGTCTTTTTCGTTAGATCCTGTTAAAGAAAAGAGATCTTTTAAATTTAAACGATGCAATAAAACCATTTAATGTTGGACGTATGGAAAGGTCTATAATAATCGACAAACATACTTGTCTGTAATGTAAACCTTTTAACGAAGGATCGAATCTCTGAAATCTCGCTTGGATTCAATTGCCTGAACATCTCTTCCATGGGTTTCTGAGGGTGCAACTCCATCGATTTAAATATATTCACCGCAGTCGGCTGCATCACACATTCCTTAAGTGTTGGATGAGCGGTGTCGGTTAACTTTAAATCAGTAAATCTAACGCCCAGCTTACTTAACAGATGAATAAGAAAATGTTCAAGATCTCCTTTAAATAGTAAAGGGATAGATTTATCGAACCGGATGAGATTTCCATGTGGATGGATCACTGGAAGAAGTGGAAATCTGGCCAACCTATTGAATTCAAACTCAGAATCTTTGCTAAATTTTGCCAGAATAAGGTGAAGCCACTGTCTATTTGGGTATGATTCACCAGAGGGATCCCACTTCATTTGTTCTACCATAGGAAACTCCATCTCGAAAAGGTTAAGGATACCATTCACGTCAAGTTCGGAAATTTTCAATAATTCGGAAATATTTTTATTCTTGATATCGAACGGCAGCTCTCTCACAAAGTGAGATAATTTTGTCTTGTTAAATAATTTTCGATACTCTTCGTCCGCTATATAATATTCCATTTTACAAAAGGTTCCTACGGTGTCATTATAAAGAGGAACCAGAGGTAATCCAATTAACTTTTCGTGACCTTTCGTATCCTGGGGTTCTGTGCCTTCGAGAATAAATTTTAATAAATCATCAATGACTTTCTTCACATTTTTATAACCCCTGGACTTTATATATGAATCCCATGTATTCTCCGTATTGCGGAGTGTGTTACACACCAAATCAGGAGTAATAAAGTATGGAGGAGATACGCTGTTCGAAAGCTCTTGAAGAAATCCATGATTTTCTTTTGATTCCTTAGATTTTTGCTTCGAAAGTTCTTCGAGGTGCTTATATTGGTTTTCGGATACCTTAACTATCTGAATATTTTGCCGCGTGAGAAGATCAGGGATGATTGTAAGTCCTTTTTTCAATTCCGCAAAGACGGCACTGGAAAATGGAATAAATTTTCCGCCATTTGCTTCGGTCCAAAATACGCGATAATCATTTCGAGCCAGCTCCTGAAGTACGGTCAGCCCAAATGTTTGATAAATTCCTGATGCCGATTTAATTGGCCAATCCCTTGTCGTTATATGTGGCGTGAACTTTTTATTGCGATTATGATTATCACGCAAACTCTCAAACCGCCACGAGTCGCCATTCGCAATTTCTTTGAGCAGATTAGCATGCAATGATGGTAAAACTTCCAATAATATGTATCGGTTCCATTTTTTTTCTTCTTCATGCTCGGCACTTTCAGAATGTAGGATATTGCTTCGATCGCTTGACAGGAAAAAATCTCCGTTCAACATTACACTTAGACCGTTGCTTATTGAGAGAGATAAGTATGAATACATTTCACCCTGTAAATTTGGCGAATAGTTCATCTAGAAAAATAATGATGTAAGCATCTTTAAAAGATATTCGTGAAATATTTGCAGTAACTCAATGATACCCTCTGGTCGTTTTCTCCCCTCTGTGCAATCAGTGCCGCAACGCCACCTCTAGGCTATAGTGGAGGAAGTTATCCATAATTAGTTGAGAGCAACCATGAAGATTTCAATCTTTGAAAAACTTTTACCCACATATACTTTTTTTGTATCGGAAAATTTTTTCAGTTCATCCCTAACTTGCTTGCTCCCTCCCAGGCATAAAAGCCAATGCTCAAGGCTTTCCCTTACAATCTCATCATTGGATATTTTCATTTCAACGTTAAATTGAAATATTCTTGTCTCGTCAGTAATCGAACGACGCGCATTCCTTATAGTTTCGTTCATTTCATTGACACTAGCTTCCCAAATTGGCCTTGACCGATTTTCATCCAAATAATGCACACTGCATTTTTCAATGTTTCTCAAAAACAGCATCTCTCTGTTTCCCTGGATTTCTTTGAATAAATTTAAAAGATCGTTAGAATCAAATATTTTGTCGGTTATTTTGCTCTTGTGATTTCTTAGTGGAATTCTAAACAAGGTTCCATTGTATCTTTTCGTTAAATCACATCCCTCCACGGATATATATGGTGCAGCTTGACCATACCACTTCTCCGTAAATTTGGATTTTACAAAGTTGTACCGATTTCCGAGTGGATTCCTTGGCGGGTTCCCCAGTTCGGGAAGATATTTAGAATGTGGATCCAAAAATGCGATGTATTCACCGCTTACAAAGCTCGGAAGATCGGTGAAGTTAAACACAGAATTAAACCCGATTCCGAAACGACCAATTTTCGTTTTATCCGATAATTTAAAACCCCCTCCAAGTTTAAGTAGTGACTTGAAATCATCTTCGCTAAATTCGGCATCATTGTAAATCCATAAGGCGGGACCTTGCCAGAGGTGCATTCCTTCGGTTAGAAGGCTTGATTGATCCTTCTTTCTGAAGTCTCTTTCGTCGATATATAATTTAAATACTCGAGCTCCCGCATCGTCCGCATTCTAGAATAAATAAATAATATTGAGTACGATCATTAAAATTAAAAAACTTAAAGATGTTTATGCGTAAGAATACCTGCAGAAATTCTTTGAATATGGACTTAGGCAAGTAATCCTAAAAAAAAATAAATTAAAATAAAAGCCGTTTGTTCCTAACTCCACTAACGATGAGATATTTACTACTTACATTAATAATATTTCTAATTCGAATAATCAAAGGTTCACTTTGCTCAAAAAATTCTGGCTCAAAGCCATCATTGGCTCCATTTACTGATGCGTAAAAGAAAATTCCAATTAAATTAGGGAAGTAATATAATCTTTGTTTACGCTAATAATGACAATTACTTTCTTTCACGGACAACATTTTCATTCTAATCTTTTTTGCAATACTCAACGATATGGAAGAATGCGCGATGTGATAATTTTTCTTCTCTTCGTCGGTTGACCTCGAGCCCATATCGTCATACTGAACGTCGCTTAAATTTACGAGGATTTCTTGTGTGGTTGGTACGAGTAATTCTTGCAATGTCCCTGCGGAACTCTTATCTTCGGCATACATCTTCGAAATCTGATCAATTAATCCCACCACTTTATCTATTTCATTAACAGACAGTTTAACGCGGGGATCATCCTGAACGTACACCTTAATTATATCGATATAATCACTAATTCCAATTTTTGAACGGACTCCCATTCTTTTAAACAACTCTTCATATTTACATTTATATGCGTCGGGAAGTCCTACTACCAATGTGTCTTTGCCCCCGAAATCTTTCGAAAGGTCGAAAACAACATTTTTGGACGAATAGAATTGCCTATCAACCAAGATCCATTTCATATCTCCGAGGTTCTTTTTTAACGTGTCGGTTTCATTTCCTTCATCGGACGCGATTACAATTGCATTCATGTGCTTATAGATTGCATCGCAAATCTCGTATATATTCGAGATTTCTGAAGATTTTTTAGAACACTCCTCAAGTTGACGAAGGACGACATTGATATCTGGATTTTTGTCCCACCCAAGACATTTAAGAAATTCTTCATGTTTGATTCTGTAATCGAGGATGGGTTCGACATAACAAATTAAACCTTTCCTTCCCAAATCTCCGCATTCCGAAGGTTTTGTGAAATGCTTTTTCCCAGAATGGTCGACAGTCGGAATCCATTCACTAACTAAAATTTCAGATAAAAGTTGCACGTTTTCAGGTTCCTTATCAAATATAATTTTCCAATTGTTGTCGATATATTTGAGAAGTTTCATTGCTTTAGTGTGCACGGTATCATATAAACCCGGTTTATTTTTGTAATCTTGAAACTTCCTTAAACGTTTGATAATGTCATCCGGCAAAAGATGGGTTTTGAGACCTAATTTCATAAGCGATTTTAGCTTTTGCGAAAAGTTTTCACACGGAAAAACTTCTTCGTCCTCAAAGAACAGATCAACAATTTCTTGGTCGTTGGGGTTGTATAAGTCCATGGGTCTATGGCGGGGTCCACGGCGTTCGAAATGTACTCCAAAGTCGGGAGGATCTTTAAACATATTATATGTGCCAGCAGTGACAAAATGAAGTTGACCTAGTTTAACGCTTAAAGCAGAATCAGCTTGGAGAAGGACTTTCAAACGATCAAACAATTTTTCTACAATAGTGTTGAACACTGAAGAGGACTGCGAGGTTAAATTTGGTATCACGTAATCCCTCCAGTAATCTATTTGGGTCAGTCTTGTAATCTTAATAACGTCTTCTAGAATATGTCGAGCGTTGCTATTCGAACTTGCATCAAGAAAGCCGATAGAGTCAGACATCATCATGTGAACATAGTCACCCTCCTCCTCTTTCGGAAGAAAACCCCACTTTTCCTTCTTGTGGAGCGAAGTCAGTCCTTCATGACCGATCTCCGAAAAAATTGGAAGTTTCTTCATCACATCAATTGCGACGTCGGAAAGTTTGGAATCGCCGTTGGTTTGAAGGTGTGCGTTTAAGTAATCGATTATTTCCAGAGCATCTTTAGTTTGCAAACAAATTTCCAAATTTCTTGGATAAGATGTCGACTTATGCAAACATAATAGAACCGACGGCAATTCGGCAATATTAACGACGTAGGAAGATAATCTGGAAAAATAAAATAAATGAATCACGCGTTTACATAATAATTTGCAATGTGTATGTCAAAGGTATAAATGCATTTGCTTACTTTTGCAAAGTATTCCCATAACGTTTCTCAAAATCTTTATCCACAAATGCGACACCAAACTTTCCTATAAGCGGTTGGACTTTGTTGTCGAGTTCATTATCAAGGATATTCCAAATGCATTTTTCATTGGTTTTTATTTTTCGTAAAGTTCCCCGGTGTGTCGGGATAAGATGCAAGGTTTCGAAATCTTTTAGCTCGTACTCTCTTTTCACAAAGCTATCCCAAATCAAGTAAACCCAATCACGCTGGTCCTTCAATTCGATCTCGTCAGAGGTGGCACAATATCCTTCTAGGTTCTCCCTTATCAAATTAGCTACTGCTGATGTGGTCAATTTCTTTATATTAATATTCCACTCCTTTTCCGCTCCCTTATATAAAAGGTTCCATAAATCATCTGGGATGGAACTGTCAATAAATTTTTTCGAGTCTTTGGTGAAAATTTTGCGTTCACATTCAATTGCTTTCTTGTCAGAACAAATGTATACAATGTCTTTTCCAGTTTTTGAGATAGCTCCCCACGTTCTGTCCGCTAATGGAATCATCCGAAGTCCCTCCAATCCTTCGGTATCCCCATCCTGAAATACATAACTGAGCAGATCTAGAGTTTCTTCGCGAGACAATTCCTGCAATCTAGACTGATTTTGTTGAAGATACGTTTTGACTATCTTTGAAGAGTAAACATGATAATTGCGCTTCGATTCTTTTAATACTTTGATCACTGTGGGATTAATGTCAACGACTACTGGAAACCCAATCTTTCCAAGTACCTTAGAAGTACTATTTAATGCGGAATCAGATGGGAAATATCCATTGGCTAAGGACAAAAATCGAAATTCGGTGCCTTTTTTCAAATAACCATTCTTGTTTGTTACATAATAAGAATAGATATTGTGAATGATTTTACTGTATATAGTTTTTGAAGAGCTAGTTTTAATCTTGACCTTTCTATGCATAGTAGTTATACGTTGATATCCAAGTAGTTCAATGGTGTGCTGTATAGGTGACATATAGTCTCTTATTGTAACTGTTTTTAATTACTCTTCAGATATGACCTATAGAAGATATTCCTTGATCAGATGAAACCTTAGGTCTCTTCTAAATATATTTACCTACTGCAGTTTCTATTATAATGTCAATACTAATCGCCAGTCTTATTGCAAGCTATCCTCTTTGATAGCCATTGGTTTTATAATTCATAAGATCTCTTATTAATTCAAGTTTGTTATGACCCATTATGGTTTCAACTGATACAAATAATTGAAGTCTCCAAATTTTCTATAAGTATATTTTTCAAGAAGAGACGAATATTCATATTTTTTGTTGAAGACATAGACCGGTTAGAATTGATTCCTGACTTTCTTTCGATATCTTTACATATTTCAAACATTAAGAATCTTTCTCTTTTTCCTGATACTAAAATTGACCAGGATCTATATAATCTGTTTTATTACAATATGATCAGATGGTGATTTTCTATAGTTTGATTATATTCAAGTGTGTATTTAACTAATTAGTATGCATTTTTGTATAATGTAATTTATATTGCAAAAACTATTCTTGAGTGGAATTGAACTGGTAATTTGTGAATAGTGATCTGGAAGTGTATCCAATATACTATTGACCTACAGATCGGTATATATTTTTTATAAAGAACTATATAGTTATTATTTACTTTAATATATTATTAAGTTTGAAAATAATCAATTTCAAAAATAATGAATTATTATAAATACTTATATAAATAATTTATTGATTTGTTTTTTGAAATAGAGGCTCAGTCATATTTATTGATTTTGATAAAATATTGTAAAAATAAATAATTTATAATAAATTATTTATAAATTAAAAAAATAAAAAATAAAAATAAATAATAATATAAATAACAAAAATTTTATATTAACTTACTATAATTATAATTCAAAAATATATTATATAAAATCAAATTTATAAATTTAAAAATTTATAATATATGCGATATACTATATGTAATTTTAAACTGATATTAAAATAAATTTTATTTTTATTTTATTTATATAATTTATTTTAAATTGTTATTAGTTATTCTTATACAGTATATTGTTATAAAAAATATAAAAAATATACAACCTTTTTTTAAGTTATGAGTCCAAATATCGCCCACTGCATAAGATTGGCCAAGCAGCCATTCAAGCATTGCTAAACCAGGAAAACATCAATAGAAAATGAACAATGTAACTAATTATTTAAGTAAGTACTACTATCTAATTATAGAAATATGAGTTACAGTATATGCAGCGTTGTACAGCGCGCGCTTACAATGAATTTTAGTAAACTTCAATAGTATTAGAATACGCACCGTAGATCGTATTCCAAATTCGAAAATTTACGCGAATTATTACCGATGTTAAAATTTCATCCTCACATTATTATTGGCGATTTCTAAAACGTCAAGTTTTAAAAGTTTTACTAATAAAAAAAAAGCATTTTATAGAGTTTAATACATCTAATACAAAAATTTAAAAACATAAAAATCGAAAACTACATACATAATTTGCCGAATCACGTAAATGCCCAAAAGATAAAGCATTACTATAAAAACATAGTTCAATCGAAGTCTTGCTTCAGCTTTGTAATTTCCGAATTTTCTGCGTGCCGGAAATAAGATCGAAAATACAAATTAGTATAGCCCGAAAAGTCACTTGGAAACAATATGAATTAGATGCTACACAAGTGACACACAAGTGCTGCAAGAATGCTACACTCCTGCGATATAAAATACAGTAGCAATTAAAACTCGGAAAATGATATATTCCTATCAGTTTCATAAAATATAACAGGTTTTATTGTTTATTTCGCAACCAAGCTATTTCCTACTACGGTTTTAACCACTTTCCTGACAAAAGATAAAAAGATAGGTTCTAATATTTAAATATTGCAAGCGAGAAGTTCGCTAAAAGAGAGGTGCAAAGAAAGTCTCGTAATTCCTATATTGTATCGCATACATAATGGCGAATAGAAGAGGAGAAATCTTCAGACCTAATCAGGAGTACGCTCACCGTTTGCGTAAGATTCTTGAAGAATATCCTGACGGGTCGCAAATTCTTCGCGAGATCCTTCAGAATTCAGATGATGCGAAAAGTCGAAAGCAGATCTTTATTCTCGATAATAATAATTATCCTACGCAGAAATTACTCGAACCTCGTAATGAAGGGACCCGTAGAACGGATGCAAAATTAGATCGATATCAAGGTCCAGCTTTGTTATCAAGAAACGACACAATTTTCGAAGAACGGGATTTTGACTCCTTACTTAAATTGGCTGACAGCGAGAAACGTAAACAATTTGATAAGATAGGAGGTAACCGCTTAAAATTTTTGTTATATTATACTGTATTTGTAGCGTGCAAATAATAATCTTTTTCTCTTTTAGCGATGGGCATGGGTTTCAACTCGATCTATCATCTTACCGATTCCCCTTCGTTCATTACTGGCAATAGTTATGTAATTCTAGACCCACACGAATGGTATTACAACGGCGGCATCAAATTTAATTTTATCGAAGAGGCAGTAGATTTTCCAGATCAATTCGCACCGTTTAGAACGTTTAAAATACCATTCGACCACACTTTCGAAGGAACCTTTTTCCGATATCCGCTTCGGACCTCCGAAGACTCCATTGATTCGGTAATTTCAAAGAAGGTGTATAAACCGGATGACGTTCGAGAAATGTTTAAAAGATTTTACGAAAATGAAGGCATCAATTGCCTATTATTTTTAAAATACATAGAAGTTATCGAATTTTATGAATTGGAAGAGGGAGAAACAGAGCCAAAATTACTTTACGAGATTTCTCTTGAAAATGCCGATGAAGTTCGGTCAAAACGTCGACAGATCGCGGAAAACGTAGTGAAAAGAATGGAATCGTTGGATCCTAAAGGTTCCAACAAGATAACCCCATTAGAATCTATATATATTGCAGAATTTTTCCGGAAGAATTATAACGGTGAAAGCGAAAGAATTTCATGGGTAATCTTTAATCAGTTAAATGAAACGGATGTCTTGGACAAATTTAAGGGGGATTTCAAAGAGCACAAGTTAGTCCCGGCTATCGGTCTCGCTGTGCGGCTTGATAATCAAGGGACCAACGGAAGACTTTTCTGTTTTCTACCACTTCCAATTCCAACGCCTTTCCGGGCCTCGATAAACGGATATTTCGCGGTTCGGGATTTTCTATTAATTCTAAGCAATTTCTAATAATTTTTAAGATATTTAATCTGATAATTCGAAATGCGATTATTAAAGGTTGGTACAAATAGACGCACAATTTGGAGCTCGGCGGATAACGAGGATTTAGTATGTATAACACAATTTTTTAATTCTCTATCTAATATGGTTCAAATTTAATCTCTAATCGCCAAGTCATATATAAAAATGTTCGCCCAAATTAGGCAGATGACTCTTTGGCAAAGCTTAAAGTGACATGGAATGAACATCTTTTTGACAAAGTTCTTCCAAAGGCGTGGGTAAGGTTTTTGGTTGAACTTCCCAACAAATATCCGAGTGTCCAGCCAAGCAAGTTCTACGACTTTTGGCCAATCCTTTCGGATCATGTTTCCAGTAGTGTAGTTGAATTTTGCAAGCAATTATTAGAGAAAGTCGTTGAAAATCTTAAAACCGATGACGAAGTCTTCATTGGTCCACGCGCATCTTATGCTCCCGGAAATATGAAAGGGTTAATTCCAACAAACAACAATGGTTATTTGAAAAAAGGCACCGAATTTCTTGGATAAGATGTCGACTTATGCAAACATAATAGAACCGACGGCAAT